CCATGACCGAGCTTTACTAAGGGCCATAAAGTCCCAACAAGTGTTTTGGTGCTCACAAAACAAATTCTAAACAGGATTGTGCTCCTACGCGTATACAAAGTTCATACATTTCAATCAGAAATATAAGCCGAACCACATAGGACAAGCGTGTACCAAACAAGTGTAGCGAAACAAGTTGGAAGTTTACCTGTACTACAAATAGTGAATTCGAACTTCCTCCTATCAGTCAAAAGACTGGATGATGATGTTAGATGCATAGTTACTATCACCGGAAGCCGTTCGAAAACGGAGCTGAGAGAACACATGAAATTGACGAAAGAGGCGATTTCGCGACAAGTATCTACAGCGACCTCCATCGAAGAGGATTTCGAACACCTCAAAAAGGAACAAGTGTTTGAAGGCGATCCAGGAGATCTGCTGATGATTACTGGAAGACTTCATCTGGCGGCGAAAGTCAGCAAGGAGCGTTATCTCGCTCTATGCACAAGCTATTCGCTCCTCAACAAGTGCTACGCTCTCAGTCACCAAGAAGGGCAAGAAGAAAGAGATCGCAACTTCGATGAGTCCGCATTGCAAGAAATGAACGCCCACATAAAAGGATTGGACAAGCTTATCAATAAGGTCGAGAGGCGAAATCAAATTGCAGAGGGGAACCTTCGCTCCACAGCTAATAGCAAGAGTGAATCGGACAAGCGGATTATTAGAATTCTCAGTGACAAGTTAGCCGCGCGGGACAAGGAAATCTTCCGTTTGAAAGCCACAATTAGTTTATCTTCGAAGCAACATCCCGTGTACAACGCGAGTTTTGGATGTCAAGTTGGCCCCGAGGTCTCCAGTGCGGAAACCCAGACGGAAGTAGCTGAAATCGTCGATATCGAACCTGCTCCGCGGACAGAGGAGGACAATGAAACGGCGGACATATCATGTGAAAGAGACGACTCACTTATTTTGCTAGATGAAGACAACACGAACGAAGACGAGCCGATGGATGACGATCAGTACTTCCACAAGTTGATAGCGGAAGATAAACTGCAGAAGGAAGTGGAGGAGGCACAGAGAAGAAAGGAAGTGCAAATGAAGGAAGGCGAATGTAGAGAACTTGCCGAAGAAGTACAAGAGATGGAGCGCATTTTACAAGTATACCCACATCGTCACTTTGGCGAAGCTCCTGACGGAACGCACACGCGCACTACTCAGATTCGTGCCCTAGGGTGACGAGAGGAGATGTACGAGCTAGTGGGGAGGAACGGCCTGTTTCGCTGTTTGGAGTCATGCCCTGCTGGCCAGTGTCGTTTCAACTACCGTCCATGCTTTTATTGCAAGAAAAATCGAACACACAATCGTGGCCAGACTCATCCCCGAAGATGATGGGCACCACAAGTCATTAGTCATTAGTTTGAGGTATCAATACGAGAAGCCCGCGT